AATCAGAATTCTGATGGGAGGTCATACATGCTTCTGAAGAATAAAAATGGGCATGTGAAGTCTTCCCAAATGAACACAATTTGTTTCAGAGACAGACTGTCAAAAGATGGAGTTTTTGAGGGGGGAAATCATTTTTAAGAGATCCTTGAAGGTAAGTATCACAGACAACAGGCTGCTGCCTGTTCTGAGTCCAGAGGGAGCCAAATGAAGTCCCCAGGTCAGGCCCAGTATCAGACTCCTGGGAGCTGTGTCTCTAGGCTGTGTGTGTCCCTTGGTATATGGTAAATATTGGCTTCAGGTTTAAATCTAAACCCCAGCCGGGCACAGTAGATCACGCCTGTAATCCCAGCATCCTGGGAGGCCAAAGCGGTAGGATTACTTGAGTTTAAGACCAGCCTGAGCGATAGTGAAAACCTCATCTCTACTGAAAATAGAAAAACTAGCCGGGTGGCAGGTGCCTATAGTCCCAGCTACTTGGGAGGCTGAGGCAGGGTGAATACTTGAGCCCAGGAGTTGAGGTTGCTGTGTGTGAGGCTAAGGCCACAGCATACTACAAATTATTTTTCATTCTTGGTTGATAAAGATGTAATCAAACCTCCTCACCCCCGTTTCTACCAGTCACCCCACTAACCATAGCCACCCTTCACCTCAGCCCACTGTGCATTAAACTGGCCTCATGCACCAAATATTGACTACACTCAGACCAAAAGTGGAGCACACATGGGACAGACAGAGGTGGAAAGTCTTGTCCTATACAGATGAATTTTATTAATAATAATGACATCTGTGTCCTATACAGATGAATTTTATTAATAATAAATGACATTTCACAGTAATTTATTTTATTTGTATATATCATACATATACACTACCAATTATATTTACTTCACACGTGTTTACACATATTATTTCCATATATAGTGTTGGGCATACAGTACAGGAAGCATTCAATAAATGCATGTGAACCAAGTCCCTTTTAAAAAGGGTAAAACAAAATACTGAAATTAGCTAAGGGCACACCTGTTAATAACAGATAATTATGAATTGAAGAGTCCAGCACAATAGTGAAGAAAATTCAGCCTAAAGCACAGGGAGGCTGGGGAAGATTTCCTCGGCTGATATAAAGAGGGAAAATACACTGGTCCAATCACTGTTATTTCCATATCATTTGGTCTCCATGGATACCACCTAACTTTCCTTCTGACAGGAAAATTTTCACTCACAATATTAGATTTCACTGCTAAATATTTTCTCAATACTTTACATAAAAGTTATTCCATGTTTAATTCCTTACTATTATTTGTATACTCTCAGAAGTGCTATCCCTTCTTTCTGGAAATTCTATCAGAAAAAGACAGGGATTAATCCAATTGTGATTCCCTTACTTTGTTACGTTAATTATAATCTGATAGAATCTTGGAAGTTAGTGCCTTGCACTTTTGGAGATTGCTGTAATTTATGTTCTTTCATACACAGCATCTCAATTGTTCACAAATGCAACCCTCTGAGATAGACAACAGTTAAGTGTTATTAACTTCCATAGAACTAACCACAAAGGTTAACTACTGTATTTAATTTTTGTTTATTGTCAATTCACTAAATAGAACACAACCCTGAGCATAAAGAGGGTTTCTTGTTGTCAGCTGAACACACAGAGCCCAGTGCTGACGTCTAGTACGTGGCCAGTGGTCTACAAATAACTACTTTGCTTTAAGACCTTTTGGTATAAGGTAGGTAAGGGAACCATGACCCAGATACCCATTTGTAGTCCAGCATTAGTGGAAATGCTCTAAAAATAAGAGTTCATACTAGAAAGTGTTAGGAATAGAAATACAGGCCGGTGTGATGGCTCACACCTGTAATCCTACCACTCTGAGAGGAAGGCAGGTGGATTGCCTGAGCTCAGGAGTTGAGACCAGCCTGAGCAAGAGTGAGACTCTATCTCTACTAAAAACAGAAAAAACTAACTGGGCATTATGGTGGGCACTGCAGTCCCAGCTACTCCGGAGGCTGAGTCAGGAGGATCACTTGAGCTCAAGAGTTTGAAGTTTCTGTGAGCAATGAAGCAACAGCACTCTACTCAGGATGACAAAGTGAGACTCAGTCTCAAAAAAAAAAATTTTTTTTAAGAAAGGTTTATTCTGAGCCAAATTTGAGGATTAAAAAAGGGGGGAGGGCGGTGCCTGTGGCTAAAGGAGTAGGGCACCAGGCCCAAATACCCGGGGTGGCGGGTTCAAGCCCAGCCCCAGCCAAAACTGCAAAAAAATTAAAAAGAAGGATAAAAATACATTGTGGGTAACATAAGAAAATTGATGCACATTAGAATTTGAAACATCCACCACGGTTTCCAATTTTCCTCTACTTCATTTAAACATCACATAGTTCTGGTATATTGAATATATGCTTAATAAAGTATTTCAGAAAATGAGATCAGAGAAAAGTGGGACTGTAGTTCATAACCTGTCATTACTTTATGACAACCATTTGTTTGCCATAATTTGTATCCAACCTGACTACAAATCCTTTTTTTCAGCTGTGATGACATTACAGGTACATCTGATTTACACGGAATTATCTCTTAACTTTTGCAGGTCAAAAGGAAAAAGGAAAACTCATTGAGAATGAGATATGTAAACGTTTAATTATCAGAAAGCAGTTACAGATATAACAGAATAAAACTCTTGGATCCAGGAGACCAAAATCTAGCTTCTTACGCAACAAACTAAGTTATAAATTCTAATCTTTCACTAATTAAAGTGAAATTCTGGACTTTGCCACATCAAATCAATAGACGTTCCAGGTGGACCGGAGAGATGTCAGTTTAAAGTCCTACATAGTCCATCAGCTGAAGTTTCCTTAGAAAACGCAAGTTCGTCCACGATATTCTAGGTTTCTATTTTGGTCCTCTTCTCCCCCAAAACAAGAACAAAGAAGGGTTGGGGAAATCGGCGAATCTTGAATCTGGCTGCTGAGGGAGTTGAACACAATGACCCTCAAGGCCTGGAAAGGAAGCGTGTGTCTGTTTGGCTTTAAGACCATCCACCACCTCAGTCTCACCCCAGCCCTCTGTCTGCACCTGCCCTTAAGCACCAAAAAGTGCCGGCTGCTGAGTTCCAGCCTTACTTGCAGTCGAGCTGAACACCAGTGAGTGCAGGCTTGACAGCAACCTCGGTGATTCCTGAAAATCCAAACAGGAAATCTAACTGTCCTCCACCCCGCCTGGCCATTCATCAAAAGCAGACCGAGTCACTGCCACAGAGAGGTCACTGGCAGAAGACAAATGCCAGCACCCTTTTTCTTCATTTAGAAAGACTCTGCGTTTTCTTCTTCCAAACCCAAGGAGAGGGAGCTGCTAGAGGGAGGAGACTTAAGAGGGAGGTAATATGTCCCCAAGTTTCTACCGGGTTAGGAACGAGTAAAAGCCTGCCGCGTATGTGTGGCCACCTCGACTACCAGCCCCAGGGGTCGTATTTACAGCGGGTCACCAGGCGTCCCGCCTACACCGACTCGGGCGTTGCGCCTCCTTCCCTCCCCCCGCCCCCAAGCACCTGGGGCAGAGGGAGTTGCCAGTGAGTCCTGGGCAAGGGGATGAGTTTCATCGGAAACCCTCCCAACTTGGCAGGGCTCCCCGAGCTCTCTCGAGCGCTGGCCCCCCGGCCGAGCCACGGGGAGCGGGCGGGCGCCGCGATTGGCCGCGGCCGGCTTCACTCGGTGGGCGAGCCCGGCCGGCAGGGCGGAAAGGAAGTGGCGGCCGCGGCTTTGCACCAACCATGTTCGGCCAGCCGGCTAATGTCACCCAGCGCCCGGAGCCGGGTCGGAGGGCACGGGGCGGGCATTCGCGTCCCCACCCCGGCGCAGTCCGCGCCCCCAGATCCCAAGGGGACGTCGGCCCCCATGCCTGCCCGCCGGGCGCCGCTCTGTCCCCGGAGGCTCCCCGCCCCCACCTCGCCCGCTCCGTAGACGAGGCGGGTCAGGCCCAGCGCGCGCGGCCGGCCAGGGGCGCCTGCTGGGACCTGGGGACGCACGGCGCTAGGCCGCGGTCTGGGCAGATGACCCCCCCGGCCGCTCCGCCCTAACCACCCGAGCCCCTCTCGCGCCTGGACAAGTGCAGTGACAAAGCCCCAGGGCTAGACCCGGCGCTGGCCGGCGGGAAGTAGGACGCGGCGTCCCTTCCGAGTGGCGGCGGCGGCCCAGCCCCCAGGAAGCGGGGCGCCTCGGCCAGGCCCGGCGCCCTACAGCGCTCACAGCCCGCCCTCCGGCCCCGCCGCTGGCCCTGTACATCCGCTACCCTACCGCGAGCTTGGCGGGCGAGCGGGCCCGGGGACCGCCGCGGGGCGCCCCATCAAGTTTCCTGCGCCGCGGCAGGAGGCGCCCCTCCGGGCCAGGGTGCCGCCGGCTCAGGCTGGAAGCTGCTTGCCGAGGCAGCGCCGCCGGGCACCGGGCAGGACCCGCTCCCCTCTTTAGGATCTGCTGGTGGCGGCGGCTGTACGCACACGCTTACACACACGCGAAAATTGTGTTTTAAATGAGGCCCGACTCCAGCGACCTGCACCCCCACACACACAACACACAACACCTGGGGTGCAGAACCACACTGAGCAGCTCTGTGTCCATGAAGCCACCTCTCCTCATCTTCGAATCCAAAAGTGAAATTAAACCTCCACCAACCTCCTCCTCCTCCCTCTCTACCTCCTCCTCCTCCTCCTTCTCCTCCTTCTCCTCCTCCTCCTTGCAGCCTCAGCAGCCCCTGTAGCAGCAGCAGCAGAACCTGCTTCCCTTAAAATCAGATGATCCATAACTGCGCCGACTGTTCCTCCAAAATCAGGATGAATATTTACAAACCCCGGCATTTCCCGTCTGCAAAAACACCGTGTTAAAAAGCACCAGGACACGCATGCACACACACAACCGCCTCCACCACCACCCCGGTCCCCATAAACATGCCCTCGAGAGAAACACACACGCACAGGCAAAACTATTATTTGGAAAAAAAATGTTACCTCTCGCAGTGTGCTTTTTTCACGGTACCAATAGAATCCCGCAAGGTCTAAGTGCGGCAAGGGTGTGTGAACTGGAAATGAAAGCCCGTCAGTTGAATAATCGCAGGAGCAAAACTAAAAGTTACTCCCCAGCTCGCCTGAGAACAGTCCAGATCGAAAGCAAAACAAGGAGAGGAAACTGCGAAGCGCCGAGGATGGAAATCCCCCCACCCCCCGCCCTCCTCCGGCCGCGCTCCCTGCCGCCCTCCCCCGCCGCCCTCCTCCCTCCGCCCTTCCTCCCCTGTGTTTGTTTCAGGCTTGTGCAACCGGGAGGCGGAGGCGGAGGGAGGGCGCGGGCAGCCCGGCCGGGAGGTGCGGAAGTTCGCCGCGGCCGCTCATTGGCCCGCAGCGCCGCTTTCATCATTTCTCGGAAAAAGTCAATTTCATTTTCACTTCCCCACGTCGCGGCAGCTGGAGCAACAAGCGGCGGCTCCTAAGTGTGTGCCTGGTGTGCAGGAGCCCCTTGCTTGGCCGAGCGCACGTCCAGTAGGGGACCCCAGGTTCTGGGGGGCGCGGCTCAGGCCACGAGCGGTGGCGGTAGGGGACGAGAGCCGGTGCCCGCCTGACGACGCTCCCATCTTAAGGCTATCTGAAGGTTGCAACGACGTAGGTACCAGGACGGCGTCCGGTCCAGTTAGCAGGGCGGATGAAAGCGGTGTTTCCAGAATGAATAAAAACTCATTTTGCAACGCTGCCCGCTTGGAAGGAGAGAGAAACAACCATCCTACCGAAAAGATGGCACTATTTGGATCTTATCAGTGGATGAGGGCTGTAGCCTTTCTCTGACACCACCTGGCACTCTGTTTAGGAGTCCGCAAGATAAGAAAGGCCTATCCCCTAGTAAGTCACAGCCCCAAGACCAGTCATTGCCTCTCTGCAGAGTGGAATGGGCAAGGATGCTTGCGAGATGCTCTTTCTTAGAGATGCCTTCCTCATGTCTGGTCCTGGAAAGAGGCTTTATACTGTAGCACTTTCAGCCAAGTTCAGATTTGGCCTCCTTAACTTACAAGCTGGACAGCAGTTTGCTAATGTTCAACTGAAACCCGAGGCCTTGGTTTCCAACGCGGCAGTAACGCTGGGATAAACCAGAGAACACATATGGTACAGCACCGTGACAGGGGCATCAGCTGGCACCTACACCTGCCTTGGGACTGGCCCCCTTTTGGACTCTTGCCTTAGAAGTAGAGATTCATGTTTAGTTAAACTTGCTTCTTCCCCACATGCACTTTCATCCATCTTCTCCCAAACTTTATCAAACAGAGAAAGTTCCCAACACATAACTGTTTGTATGTAAACACTTGCCTTAAAAATAACTCCGACACCCGCTGTTTTCCACAGAAGTGTTGAATTCTGTGGACTGGAGAATGAAAAGTATCCAAATATACGTGCGTGCGTAGTAAGGAAATAGCTGAGGGTTTAGGATTCTGTTTGGTGGCTGTGATCTCAGAATACACACAGTATGTGATGTAGATCTCACATACACACATTACTCTTTATCCCCTCTGTTATAATAATATGACACAGCCACTCACTTCCTCATGCTGAAGCAAGCAATTGGGAGTCACCAGATGCAAACTATAGGGCCCAACTTAAAAACTACCCAATCATTTTTCTGTACCAAAACAATCGTCTTACTTCCCCTGGAGTAGAAAGAGAGAAATGGAGACGAGGAATGGAATGTATCACTGGAATTGCCATCTGTGGACTCTGCTCTCACTCTGGTAGCCTCCACCTGCAGGCCCCAGGAAGGAAAGCAATTAGGACTAGTCCGACCTGCTAGTGCTGCCTACCTGTGTCTACGAAAGGTAGCTGCCTCCTATGATGTGATTTCAAGGGAGCCAGACAGGGCAGGACCCACTAGCCTCTACACTGTATCTTCTTTTGCCATGCATGAGGCTGGTGCTGGAAACTCACTTGCTGGGTGGACAGCTTCCACACTGTTTTGATGCTAATGCCTGATTTCCCAAGAAAAATGTTTCTGGAAAGGGCACTGCCCTAATTATGATTCTAGAGGAGGAAAGAAGTGTGTTGTTTCCTTTATTTTTTGTTTGAATGTTTTAGTCATTCATCCCTGCAGTATGCATCCAGTCTTGTCTCCTACTGATACTCTCGAACATCTCTGGACCTGGCCATCCCCAGGGCACGGTCTGCCAACTGCTCCCTGTCTCCTGCCTTGGACTTTCCCAAGTGAGCAGCCACACTGCTGCCCAAGTTCAGTAAAAATTAACTCCAGGTACTGCACAATTCCAATCTTAACTGCCCCTCCAAAGCCTCTCTGTGGCCTTCAGGATAAAGGCCGTATTATTTGACAAGACACATAAAGTCCATTGTGATCTGGCAGCAAATGGCTTTTCCAACCTCATCTCCTGCCACTCTGCCCCACGGGCCCTGCAGCCCTCCCCTGCCAAACCAGCGTCTATTCCTTTTTGTAAAGCCACAGAGCCATCCTCTTGTTCATTGTGTTGTCCTTAGCCTGGTGACCAGCACAAAAGCACTCAAATATTTGTGAATTGATAATGAGTTCTCTTTTCTTTAGATTCTCATATAATATTTTAACTTTGTTCTATCTCCTCCCCCAAAATAAAAATATATATATTTTGTGTTAAAAAATATATTTTAACTTGATCAGAGCCTTTGTTTTATGTGTCAACAGCTTTTTAATATAAATGTAACTAATAAACTGTTATACAGGATTTGGAAAATGCAGGAAAGTTGAAAGGAGTAAATGAGCCCCACTGACATCTCACCAGTGGGGACTATACCTGTGGATATGTAATATATCCTAGTAATTTTTCTAAAGAGCCATTTCTCATCCTCATCTACTCCGTCCCTCTGTAAGAATGCTGACTTGCGGCCGGCTCTCGGCAATGCCCATGTGACAGCCTTCTGTCCTATTCTTGTTCTTGGCTGGCTCCTTTTCTGCTGCCAGCCCCCTAAATTATGGTGTTTCCAGGCATTCTAGCCTCAACCCTCTTATTTTCTCATTCAGTATGCTTTCTCTTTGTGTGCTCTCATCCACGCCCGGAGCATCAAATATCACTATTTGTTGGTGACTCCCAAATCTGAAACTTCTGGTAGCTACAGATGCATTAACTCCTGGGCTCTCCTCAGGTGCAAAGAAATGTACACGTCCAAACCTGAACTCACAACATCCTTCCTACAACTTTGTACTGGTCACCTCATCGGCTAGCCAGGAGCCTGCTCTCAGGAGCTGCCCCTTTCCTGAGCACCCAGAGCTTCTTGAACTATGGGTATTGCTTCCAACTCTCCAGGCCCCTAAACTCATAAACATAGAATGAATTTCCCTCCATTCTTTTGCTCTTGACTGCATGTAATTGCAAACCAAAAATCTAAATATGACCCATGTCAACAGAAAAGAACACAAACTATAAAATATTTTAAAGAGGGGGCCTGGCATGGTGACTCACACCTGTAATCCTAGCACTTTGGGAGGCCGAGGCAGGGGGATCGTTTGACCTTAGGAGTTCAGCCTGAGCAAAAGCAACACCCTGTCTCTAAAAATAGCTGGGCTTGCTGGCAAATGCCTATAGTCCTGGCTACTCAAGAGGCTGAGACAGGATCACTTGAGCCCAAGAGTTTGAGGTTGCTGTGAGCTAAGACACCAGGCACTCTACCTAGGGTGACAAAGCGAGACTTAGTCTCAAAAAAAAATTTTTTTTTAAAGGTTTATTCTGAGCCAATTGAGGACTTTCACCTGAAGCTATGCCTAAGAGGCCTTGAGCAAAGGGACTCGCTTACAGTTTTATTCATTTCAGGGAGACAGGAATTACAGGTACAGTCATAAATCTGTATATAGAAGATATATATTGGTTTGGCCTGGAAAGATGGGACCTCTCAAAGTCTGGGCTTACAGACTGTAGATAGGTTTAAAACACTTTGATTTGTAATTGGCTGAAGAATGAAGCTTTGTCTAAAGGCTTAGAATGTTTTAAGTTAAGATCAGAAAGTCTGATCAGAGACAAGCCTTTTGCCATATACCCAGACTCAAGTGGTCTGTTAGGTATATGAGGCTGGACAATTAATTTCAAGAACTTACAGAAAAAGTGCTATACACATCATTGCTGAATATCACTACCGTCACCAGATGACCAAGAGGAGTACTTCAAAGACAACCATAGTGATATTCAGCAGTGAGATATGTAGCACTTTTTTTCTAGGACGAGTTTACAAACTTAATTGTCAGATCTAGTATAAGAAATCCAGTGAAGCATTGTAAAACTCCAGTTTGAAGCCAAGAATTAGGGTTATAGCCAGGCTTTTGCTATATACATAATATTAATAACTATTGATTAAACGCCTTTATCTTTGTAAGTGTACAAAATCAAATAGTTTTGCATACTTACATCTTAACTTTTAAATTAACATCTGAATTTTTTCACACCAGGCTCTGGGTTCATTAGATGTTTATATGCCCCACCTCAACTCCATGCTCTCACGTGGAACCATATTAGCACCTGGGGGATTCAGCCCCTTTCCCCAGCTGATCATTGGTCAATATTGGGGGAATACCTGACTTAGATGTTTCTTGCATTTTTATCCCTACTTGATGTAAAGAGACATCAGGTGAATGGAAGAAACTAGAATAGCACATAAAAACTAGTTTCCTCCTTGTTCATTATGGGAAAAATTATCAAGTACATTTGTTTTTTTCCTCTCTATCATTAACATTATTTTAAACTTTTTGATACTTAATACTCTAAATGAGAACAACTAAATAGATGAAAACTAACAATATTTTCAGGGCAACAATAAGTCCAGTGATCTTGATATTTTGATAAACTTTAGTCAGTAGAAAAACTTTAGCTATCACATATGGCTCAATAAAATATAACTATATTATATACAGGGTGGACATAAAGTTCATATGCAAGTTAAAATAGTTTAACATAGTAAACTGTACATGTATTTATACATACACACATGATCTATCTATGTATATGCTATTCATTCTGTTTCTCTGAAGAACCCTAATCTGTCTTATCTACCTACCTATCTATACGCTATTGGTTCTATTTCTTTGGAGAACTCTGTCTATCTATCTAGAACCATTCATTCTACTTCTCTAGAGAACCATACTACTACTACACATACACACACGCATACACATAGGCACAGAAGAAGAGAGATAGCAATTTACTATAGGA